ATATAGTCTTATATCCGAACATTTTTTAAACTAAAACATGTTATTTTTAAGTAAAATATTATATATAATTCAGGATATAAATATCTCTATAAGTATTTAAACTATAAAATTAAAAATTAAAATTATGAGCGATACCTTTTAAATAATTAAGCAAATTGGTATAATCATAATTACTATTTTTATTTTTAATTCTAACAAAAACGACTTTGCAGGAGAAAACTATAAAAATGTTAAAAAAAAACTGGAAATAAGCAAAAAAAAGGCACTCAAATTTCATAATTGTACGTGTTATAAATTGACATACACTTCTATAGCACTCTGCTAAATTTTAAATCAATCCATCAAAATAAGCAAATGCTTTAATTCCTTTAATTCCTGAGCCCTGCTTATAAGATTATTCTGCGTTTTCATTATCGTTAATGTTAAATAAGATCTATTGTAAATTGTTAATAAATGTATATCACTTATATCAGCGATTAATTCAAATATTTTTTTTTTTTTTTGTTATTAACTTAACTTATTAATTGAAGTTAAGTTAACGATATTTTTTAAATGAATTGATGTAATTCCCATGTACATTAACTTAATTGTTAACTGAATTGAACATGAACTCAATTAACTAACTTTTAAAAAATATCATTAACTTGCCCAACCTTACAAATTTGAAATCATCACAAATAATATTTGAAAAAATGTATATTCCACTCTGATGATTAAAAAAAGTTTAATTTTGTAGACCAGTGTTATTAATTTAATACCATACTAGGGGTTTGAAATTGTTATAAAACGATTTAAGGTAGTATCAATATCTGATACCATACTATTTTTTAGTTAATTAAAAAATATATAAAAAATTATGTAGTGAATAAAAATAAACAGCTGAACCGCTTAATTTTCAGAAAAATTTTTCTTCTTAGATCCATTTTCCAAAAATGGAATTTAATTGACCCTTTAATCAATATTGGTAAAAATCTCTTTCCAGCGTTTGCGATTTTCAGCCAAACTAATGACATCCTCTAGAGGGTAACCAGTGATAGTTTTGATCTGGCCTATCCAACGCATTAGCATTCTCCCACGGCTCTTTCCCCCTCAATTTTTCCTTCAATCATCATCTTCTCCAGACTCGATCCATTGCTTCTTATAATAAGACCAATAAAACTTGTTATCCGCTGTTTGCATATCGCTGCGAGTCTTATTTTTATTTTAAGCATGTCTAGGATTGAGATGTTAGTTCTCTTTACATTCAGGATATTTTCAACATTTGTCTGTAAGCCCATATCTCAAAGGCAATTATGTGTCTTACATCCTCCGTTTTGAGTGTCCATGTTTCGGATCCATACGACAAATGTTCTATCCGCCAAATATGAACGCAGGATCTGTAAGAGATACCTATCTCGAAACATTTCTGTCACGTAGCGCTTCTTCGATGAGTATCCAAGACGTCAAATTGAATGCATTTCTAACGTCAAGGGTTACCATTACGCATAGGTCTTGGTACCGAAAGTTCCCTCGACCCACTCAGTTGGTATCTTCCAGTATTTTGTTAATAGCATCTTCCGTCGAAAACTTGTTTCGGAAGCCGTACTGGTTTGAGTTGAAATCTCCTATGTTGTCCATATGGGTTTTAAATCTTCGTAGTATTAGCCCTTCCAACAATTTTCCGGCGGTATCGAGCATGCACAGAGGGCGAAAGCTTGACAGGTCTGCTATGAACTCGTTAGGTCCTTTGTGCAGAAGAACAAAGCTGGAATTCATTCACCTGATCAAAAAGACTGATTCGTAAAGGTATGTCGGGATGATAGAGATCAGTGTCTGCGGGACCTTTTTTGTTACAACGGCTAGGATCTTGTTTGGACCTCCATCCGGGCCGGTTGCCTTATTTCTGGGGAGTGGGGTGGCCAGATGTAGTTCCTCATTGGTAAGGGCTGGGCATGCGGAAACCTTTTGTTCGGTGATCTTCATATCTAGGTTTCCCATTCGACTACGGGTCTGCGAGGGAAAATGGAGTCTACGATATTCTTTAGCCTCCCCTTTGCTGCTATTCGTGGGGTTTTTTCTTGCCAGTGTCTTCGAAACGATCTTGTAGGGAAGACCCTAGGGGTCGTTTTTTTTCAGCGGAGAATATTTCAGCCCAACACTTTTCCTGCCTGACTTTAATTGCTCGACGGAGGGCTTTCCTCGCATCCAGGAATTCATCAAGTTCAGCCTAATTATCCTCGATCCCTCTTTTTCTCATTTCCTCGTGTATTTTCAACGGGCCTTAATGCATTTCTGTCTGAATTTGGCGATTGAGCTGCACCACCAATATACCGGCCTCCATTTCCACAGTTCGATCAACTTTGGCATGCAGGAGTCACATAGGACTGCAAGGTAGTCGTGCAGGGCGTTCGCTGTGATGTTGGCCGATACACTATATACCACTTGTAGTGGGCTGTCTTCGATCTTCTGGTGCAGTGCTTGGAGGTCTAACTTCTTGAGTAACCACTTAGTTATATTTGAGGGTACGTTGTTGGTTTGAGGCTGTAATGTTCTGTTTTGCATTGAGAAATGATAATAGTTGTAATAATTTGCCACATATGTGTTGAGGTCTACCTCAGAATCGGACTCCCGTTGACCGGGTCAAACGAAGGACTTATCGATATTGAGGAGGACTCTCCCCTTCTGGAACTTGGAACCCAAGTTGTAGGTCCAAATTCCTAATCTTGAAAGCCTCTCTTTTTCACATCAGTGGTTGAGGATCCCTAGAACGTGGGCCTGGCGTTGAAATTCTCCACTATGATTAATGTGTCGCTAGCCAATTCAACTTTTCTAATAGCATCCAATAGACCGTCGATGATGTTGAAGGAATCGATCCTTTGCGCTGCTCTAGTGCCGTTGGTATATGGTAATAACTAAAAACGACGAGGCCTTTGCCTTTTAACCATGCGTATCTAGGTCCTGATCCAATTGATTTGGTGACTTGACCTGCGCTGGTCGTCAACGCAACGGAATATCTGTCATCAGTGCTGCCGACCTACCTGACGAAGTTGTTGTGGGGGACGGTAGTGTTCGCTGATTGTGACGAGGTCGTTGATGGTTTTTGCTAGCAGTTGTTGAGAATCGACACTTAGGTTAGGTTACGTAAGGTTTCCATTAAAATATTACCTATTATATATTATAAAATAACCTAACCTAATCTAACATATCCATTATTGATAACTACAATGATTTCCAAAAAGTATATACCAATGGCTTAAAAACACATGAAGATGTAGGATTCGCGATAAAATTTACAAAAAAAAAAAAAATATTTTACAAATTACCTAATATTTGCTCCATATTTACATCCTAATGGCTATTGAGATTATAATGCATGAAGTCCACTCCAAATTCATCATCCTTAGCGATTCACCGCGCAGGGTAAAAAGTCTACAAAACCAATTTAACCCCGACAATATTGCATCTAAAATCCAGATTAATTTCAACAAAGCTTCTGATTTAGGTAAACATATCATTATTATGTGAATACCTACATGATATTATGTACCTATCCTAACAGAAACCAGGAAAAAAAAGTTAGGTTAGGATCAAAAGTGTACACATATAATTTAATATTGTAACCATAAATTATAAAATACAAAGTAATTTTAACTGATTTAATGGTAAAAGCATATATAATAAATTACATAATATAAAATATTTTTACTGCAGTAATGACAAAATTATAAACAATAACTCATAAAGATAATTAAAATAAAACAAGGTTTGTTTAAACATAAACAATTCAGTTTTTATTTAATATAGAATTTTAATCTTATAGTAAAAGTATTATAATTACAAATCAAAATATTTATATATTTAGATAAATATATCAATAACTACTATATGAAAAATTCATGTTTTTTCATAATATTTCATTTAATAGTGCCACAATTTAACAATACATAAATATAAGGACCTACTGAACTTGTAAAAGAGCACACAAGTATTTGAATCAAACTTTTTGAATAATTAGGTAGATAATTATACAATAATCTTATAATTAAATTACTAATTTTCATTTCACTATATTAATTGAAATAAATTAGAATTTAAGGTTTTAATTAAAAAGAATAATACATCATAAAGATGATTAATGTTCCATTTCAGCAATATAAACTTAAAATGTTAATATAATTTTTTTCAATAACAGTACATATACTTATGTTATATTATAACATATATATTATATATTGATTAAAAATTAAAATAAATAGAGCACAATACTTGTTAAAAAAAATTAGAAATAAACAAAGAATATTTAAGTATAATAAATTGATAAATTTAGTGTATATATGTACATATTTTTAGATAAATATAATTTCCAATGTTTCAATTATTATTCATCATAAATAATATTACACAAAGGGTTAATGTCAAAAATATTTATCTGATTTTTTCGAGTACCATTAATTCTAAATAATATTTAATGTCAATTATTAAACTAATTTCAGTTTTATTAATTTATAAATAAAATATATTCAATAAAAATGTAATCAAAATCATTTGAATTTTAGTATTTTTTTATATTTGGAATTTTTAGTTTATTAAATATTAGATTAACATGTTATTTTAAATCCAAATCAAATAAATATAATTATTTGATTTACAAATTAGATGAATAATTTTTTTCAAATAATGTGTTTTAAAACACATTAAATAAACTATATTTTATATGATTAATATTTTTATAACCATGGTTAATTAACTACCATACTGAAATTCAATGTTCAACAAAGTTTATATATTTTTAAAAAAAAATTGAAAAAGTTTAGAAATGGTTGTCATAGGATATATTTTTGACATAAGCACTAGGCACTTAACTGATTATCGTAGAAATAACAATTTTTTTTTAAAACAAATAAAATTGAAAAAAAAATCAACAAGTGCATTAAATATCTAATGCAATTGCAAATATAAAACTTTCAAAACTATCAACAAAAAATTTAAATTTTTGTACATTCTATAGTATTTCTAATATTATAAAAAAAAAAGAAGGAACAAATATATATGTGAATCATTAGTAAATCCGCTTTACTTTAAAACTAGACAACTAATATAAATGTATTATGTAATAAATACAAATGTAAATGGTTAATTAAATATACATAAGTTATAAATATGCCAAAATAGAAAAAGAAAAAGAATAAAATAAGTAATAGCTATTTTTGGTACAACTTTCTACCCTTTGAGCTTACTCTAACACCTCTTGCGGCTTAACACATTACTTCATATAACATATTTATCATTTTTCAGTCTTCTCCGCATACTTAACACACAATCTTAGTATTAGGTCTTTTTGCTTTATATCTTTCAATTTCATCTAATGTACAAGAAGTACCAGTAACATCTAAACATTTTATGAATGGACATGTTTTGGCTGCAGACTTCAAAAATGAATCAGTTACTCTAGGATAGTTACGCACATACAGGTTTTCTATTTTGCATTTGTCGGATAGATCATTTCTAAAAAAAATATTATTTAACATTTTTAGTAGAGTTGTAACAATAATAAAAAATGTCATACAAATTTTGAACCAAATTAAGATATTTAAATTCAAATCAGTTTAATATTTCCAAATTAATTTTATTTAAATAATCTTTTGGTGTAAAATTAATTAATTATTTCAATTTTTTTTAACTTACATTTAATATTTAGATTAATAGATCATCACAAATTACTAATAGTTTTCTAATATATTATTTGAAATAACTATTTATTAGAGATTAGGCCAAAAGGTATTATAAATGTTAAAATATCTAAAATGGGCTGAGCATAGATGGAAGATTTATTTTTAATCAGTCAGGTTTAAAAGGTATCCATCTCAAAGAGAAACCCATAAAATTCAAAGGTAAGTTTTAAGTAAATAATATATTTATGGAGTGCAAAATACAAAGCAGGATTTTCTATACTGTTAATTCAGAAAAATTTACTTTAGATTGTGAAAAATGGGTAATTATATCAGAGTTAGTTGAAAAATAACATTTTAATTTATTTCTAATTGTGGTTTCATCAAATATCTTAAAAGGTTTATACATTTCAATTAAATGTTTGCATTATTTTTGTACCATCCCTTAGCTTTAAAATTTAACTCTTTAAAAATAATGCTGTACATTTTTTTAAATATTCTAGTTTAACTCAAATTCTTGCTAACGTAATAGTAATAAAAGACAAATTTTAACTCAAACCACAAAAATACATTAAAATTAGTTTTTCTTTTTTTGTTAGTTATTTGAACTCAAGACAGTTTTTATGGAAATTTTCATATTTTTTGTACAATGCTTGCAAATTGTGTGTAACATGGAATAAGTTTTTATTTAATTTTTATGTATGTTCTTTTTTACAATAGTTATATATGCACAAAAATAGTATATTATTTATTTTTAAATACTTAAAAACTTTATGTTGTTCAATATTTAAAAATATAACATTATTGTGGTTTAAAATTTAATATTTAAAATTACACTTAAACCACATGTGTAATTTATTATTTCATTGTTGTATAGTTGTATCAGTATTGTAACTGTCATATCATATATAAGTGTTATATATACTATACTTATATAACTGTATAACCAAAATTTACAATTATGTATTATAACAGTACAAACATTGTGATGTATTAAAACTATAAGTTATTAGTTATTACTTTAATTGAAGATTTAGTAATTTCATTAAGTTACTTAGATTAGTGTAACAGTATATTTAAGTTTTTAAAATACTCTTTCCAAGTATTTGTGAACAATTAAAATTATGATATCTATCTTTATAATCAGGAAATTTGTGTTTAACATATTTCATTGTATTTTATGCAATGAATTTAATAATCTATGTACTCAATTAAATCATGAGATCATAAATTGGGCATTATTTCAAAACACTTTTAACATTTATTGTAAGACCATGTCTGTTTAGATAATATATACATTTCAAACACAACCTTTTACAAATAATTTCTCAATGGACGTTAGCATATGCAAAAATTGTTTAAAAATGATTATTATTTTAATTACAATCAAAATACAATATAATTTTTATAATTAATGAAAATTAATTTATTTTGAGTTTAGTTTTTATCTTATAAAATTAACAAAGTAAGTGAAAACAAAATTTACTCAAAACATAGGTCATTTCAATGTTATAATGTTAATTGATAAAAAAAAAATTATGGTTAAAGATTCAAAACTCTCTCTGATATTTAAAGGTAAAGTTAATAATTTAAATATACCTGTCATGAACTCTTCTCAAGTTCACTTCACCATCTCTATCAATCATAATTTGAATGTATGGATAATTAAAATCATAACTACTGAAACAAAATCCTGATACACCTATATCAGTAATTGTAGCATCTCCTTCATGATTAACATAATCAGGACTTTCCAAAAGAACATGTTTTAGATTTTTTAATCTTTGAAAACATACGAGTTCATGATCACTTATTGGTGTCAATCGTAAATCTAAAGTCTATAAAATGAAAATAATCAATAAAACGACCATAAAAATCTATAAGTTATTACTTATTATAAATTACTAACCCGTAAAGCTTTGAATCCAGTTATGGCAGTAATACTGGCATATGGAATACAATCTCTAAATTGATTGCAACCTTGAAGACTTAAATGAGTTAATTTCTCCAATTTGGCTAATGCATATAAGCAGTGAGGAAGAAACCAGTCATTAAATGTCATTTTAATTTCCTGTAAATGCAAAAAAAAAGAAATAATTTAAGATTAAATTTAGTATATTTACTTAAATAATTTTTTTAACTATTAACTTCATTTATCAATAATAAATGTTATACAAATATTCATAGGACATTTACCTCAAGATCTGGACAAGTGATATTTAAACCACATAAATATGAGGTGAGGTCTGTAATGTTTTCAACAACTGTTTTTTCAATAGTTAGTGACTTGAGTTTGCGATGCAAAATTTTTACTGTTATCTGTATATCAAATGTTTTATGAGTAAGAATAATATTTCAAAAATATGATTAATACGAATACAAACTGAATATTTAACTTACTTCATTGGAATCAAATTTTTGATTGCTGAAACTTAAATGTGTTAGTTCAGGGCATTTTGTTTCTAATTGTATTAAAAACTTGTGTGAAACTGATGTATCATAAGTTGGTATGTCATTGCCTTTTATACACACTTGAGTAGTACAATCTTTTAAATAGGTCAAATAAACATCTTCCATAGACTTATCAAACGGATCAAACCAAACTTTTTTCCAAAGAGTCCAATCACTGCTGATTCTAGATAAAGTAGAACATACACTGCAAAACAAAAATAAGTTTGATTAATAAGGATAATAATTATAAAAATCATAAAATAATAAGAATTAAAAATTATTAAATGGTTAATTCTACTAAATTATTTTATAAATAAATAAACAATTTACATATAGATATAAATAAATAAAAGCTTAGGGTTGTGATTTTATTTTTTCATGTCCAGTCATAATTGTATTAATTTTATACAAACCTGGTGATGAATTTCAAATTTAACACTAGTTGTACTTACCAAATATAATAATACACCAGGGTGTTTTTTTTTATTTATTTCTATATGTAAAGTATTTGTTTATTTATTTATATATTAACTATTATAGTTTTTTTCCCATTAATACACTTACAATGACATATTAGCAAGATTGTTATGAGAAAGATACTTGAATATATGCATGATAACATCGTCGCAGAGATTTTCAAAACCAACAATTTCCTTTGCTGATTTTGAATTCGAAGTTGTCGATAGTGGACAATTAGTAACTTTTGATTTCTTTGTGTCGTTACCATGACATACGTTGTCATCATCCAGCGACCTCTTATTAGCATTGTCCATGACGAACGTGTGCTACAGATTATCTTCTCCCAACAGTCCGGCGTCTCAAAACGTTGACAGAGAAACACCTGAGAAGTCGACACACGAGTCGGTGGCGGTCGGTTTCGAGATAGCCGAATTAAGTGTTGCGCACAGGATGCTCTCACTTACGCTGTTCTGCGTTGACGTTGAACGAAAAGGAACCGAACGGACATCATACAGAAACGCGGGATGGCAAATCGCATTTGCTACAAACAATGCAATCGTTGAATACGTGTCCTGGCCAACGGCAGGCAGCAATACACACCCGTAACAGCTACAACGAGACTGCCGAATACAGCAGAGTCGGAATGTCAAATTGTCAACGACGGCGTTCGAGGATAACCCAGTTCATGTTTCCGACGTAATAAGTACGTGTGAGTACAGTAGTAATGTCAAAGTATATTGATAATGTTGCAAATAATCATAATTATTAATTATTATTGTTGTTCTAGGAGAATGATTATTGACGTAATCGAAAACGGGTGCGAAACACTGATTTCTAATTTGAAAAATATTAATAGTAATAATAATAATCTATTACGTAAAAATTATGATTATATTATTTTGAGTTAAGATAAATTTATGCACAATAGGTATAATGTACGGTAATACACGACACACGACAGAACGCGATGTGTCAAATATTTCTCGTCGGTAGACACGTACAAACTGCATCGCGGTAAGATTGTTTATATTGTTGTTGCCTACCGCGTTCGTCTCTGATAACGCTTCGGACGTATTTTTGAGTGCCGCACACCGGTTGTTGAGTTTTGAGAAGTTAAACTTTGAATGTGAAACTATCTTGCACAGAAAACGTCTCACACAGAATAATTATTTTGACGAGATAAAAATATCGACTGCATTTTCTGTTTTTTACCAATTGAAATACTGACATCCGACTTACTACGTTTTCCAACTTTGAAAAATGGTAATTAAATATTTATTATCTGCCGTTGCTGCTCGCTTAATATTGTTCGCCGGTCGTTCTGTTACGATCGACGAAGTTAAATCTCTAAATATATTACATATATATATATATATATATACTTTTGGTTTTTCCACAGCTTTTCTATTCATTCTTCAAATCCCTCGTTGGCAAGGATGTTGTTGTTGAATTAAAAAATGATCTCAGGTGAATCATTTTTACTGATCACTGGTTCTTTGAATATACATTTTACTAAACTAGTGATTTTTTTATTTTTCCTATAGTATTTGTGGAACATTACATTCAGTTGATCAGTATTTGAATATCAAACTTGTCGACATTAGTGTAACTGACCCAGAAAAGTATCCACACATGGTAAATATATTTGTTTAAGTATGAGTTTAATAAATAAATAATATAGTTTACTTCCTTAGGCTTCGGTTAGAAACTGTTTCATTAGAGGTTCAGTTGTTCGCTATGTTCAATTGCCAGCTGATGAAGTTGATACGCAATTACTACAAGATGCTGCCCGTAAAGAAGCAACTGTTGCTCGCTAATAACTGTACATTTAATTACATTAAGCAATTATCATTTTAATTATTAATATTAATAAGTAAAATTATTTTAAAATTATAAATAATTTTACTATTATTGTTAAAATATATATCTTAAAGTTAAAGAAATACAATCTTAATTTAATTTAATTTAATTGGATATTTTAAGTATAGTTGTTCTATATCTTATTCATAAAAATGATTTACTTAAAATACTGTTATCTGTATGTCTTCCGTATACTGAATAGATCTATAATTACCTTAAATGTTAGTCTGAACTCTAAAAATACTCAACTGCTCCAATTTTTAAAATAAGTAAATCAATAGATGAAAAATGTTTCATTATAAATACTATCTAATCATTAAATTATTCGTTGACAAATTAATTTTATTATGCATATTAAAATCTTATAAAAAAAGTTATTTGTGTCATTGATGAATTTTTAGGAATATCTCATTGATCATTTATACTTCTTAATCATTAATGGCAGATACAAAAGTGACATTGAGTTATACTTTTAAATTTCTTATTTTATTAAATATTTGTTTTGAAATACTGTTAATTAAAAAAAAAAAAATTGTGTGTGTCTTATCGTCGAATAATGATAAGTGTGTGTGTATATATATATGTATAACTTTTAATTTTTTAATAATATTTTTATCATAAAAATATATGTACCTTATTGTACATAATAAAAATATTTATATACAATTAAAGTACTTATAATATTAGGGCCAATATACAGTGCTTGACTTGAGGGGGGACGCAGGTGGACGGCGTACCTTTTCTAATTTTTAGAAATTTGAACGTCCCCCTACTATTATGATGTTATAATTATAATGCTTAACAAGTATTGGGGACGCAATTTTTTTTAAGCAAACATAGTCCCCCTTCTTTAATTTTGCCAAGTCGAGCACTGCCAATATATAATTTAAACAATTTCTAATGAAAAATAAACACCATACTAGGAAAAAAAATTAATATTTTTAAGTCGAAATGTTATTAATTTAAAATTTGAATTATTGAACAATGTTGAAATACAATTCTTTGATTCTCACAAGAAAATACAATCTAAATAGTAAAGAAATTAATTTTTCTCGACTTAAAAATTTTTTTTTTAATTTTCATGAATTACATTATTTTTCTAACCATTTTATTTTACAAATCTTATATATTTTTGTAATTCATTCAAATAAAGATTAATTTATTTTAATAAAATATATATGTAAACTTAAATATTATAACATATGTACATCATGTCTAAGATTTCCATTGAAATAATACAACAAAATGCAATATGCATAATACTAAATTAATTAAGAGATTATTATTATATTAGATATATATGTTTATATATGATAAATAATAATCTTGTTTAAATATTATTGTACCATTAAGCATAATTTTATAAAATAAGTTCTGTTATAAAATTAATGCTATAAACAAATTATTTGACGGGAATAGTATAAGTAATACAATTGTTTATACTGTAAATTTAATCATCTTTGGCTTACAATTATTATTATCAGTTTATAAACATAGTTTGGGATTGACTTTATGTTTAGCTTGAAATATGTTATTAATCTCTCATAAAAATGGGTACTAACTACCTTGTATCTATTTAACACATGCATTATATATAAAAATACAGTAGATTATAAACTGTTATTGTCCTCTTTCCATATAACAAAATAAAGTAATAAATAATATTAATATTATACAGATATAAGTACTTAAGTACAATCATGGGCATAGACAGAAAATGGAGTTCATTTATGGGAGGAGGACTATTTGTATCAAGACAGTTCGAACCTGTATAGGCTATGTCCTTGAATTCCCATTTTAGTAATTTCTATAAAAATACAATTCGTCACTATTCACTATTAAAGATTAAAATCTTTGTAGAATCAGCCCTCAATTTTCTTAAAGTTTATGATGAAAATTTTCCCCTAAACACCTCTTTATCATTTTTTTAAGGTTTATAATTTAATTAATATTAATAATTCATATGTACATACATAAATATGTAACTTTTAAATTTGAATTTTAATTCAATGTATAATAATAATGAAATAGTTCTGATACTAAATTAATTTCATTTGGGAAGACTATAGAAATATTGAGGGACTAAGCCTATGCTAACCTATGCTCTAACACAGGGGTGGCCAACTCAAATGATCTTGCGGGCCACATAAAATTATAATTGTATTTGAAATAAACAGAATGAATTATTATTGTTTTTATCACCGTATTCTGAATCCAATTCTTTCAAGAACTCTTAAAATTGTCGGTGCAGTAATTCACTGTTTTTATGACTACTTGCATGCTATGATTCATCATACTACAAAACAAAGATTTTATTGATAATCAAACAGTTTGTTGCGATTACGTTGTTAATGAAACGGATTCCGCGTTGTGCGGGCATTTCAGAATATTTTAATTGGACCAAAAATAAATTTTTTTTGTAAATGTTTGATAAATCTCGCGAGCTGCAAATTTTCCAAGGTGGGCCGCGGGTTAGCCATCCCTGCTCTAACACTATCAATCGTTGTTGGAGAGTAAATAATGTTTAATTTTTCATTTTTGTATTGATTATGAATTATACGTTACTGAAATTCTTCTAGAGAAACTCGAGATCCCATTTAAAAGAAAACATTCAACGGATAGGATAGTATAGTTTAATTAATTTCAATAGATCACAGGTAGCCATGTTGATAACACATATATGTCAATGCACATGTTATATTAATGTACACTTACAGTAGGTATAGCTTTACAATTTTAGAATTTGTAATAGGTACAATACAATTTTCAGACTTACACTTAGAGAGGCTTATCTACAAGATTTAAATATATAACTACAACATATGTATATATTTTAGGGGTAGCCAGACTAAAAACAAAAATCCGAAAAAGTATCGATTTTTAATGTAAGTTCTTAGTTGCGTTGGTTGTATCGCAGATTGGATAAAATTAATTTTAACTGACCTGTAATTGTATTTATCAGATTCAATTTAAAACCATAGTAATTCAATGCATTCGTAATAAGAGGATTCAATGCAAAATAAAGTAATAAAAAAAAAAAAATTATTTCACATTTCTAGTAGGTTCTTGGTAGAACGGTAAATCCTAAGGGAATAGTCAGTGCTCGACTTGGCAAAATGAAAAAAAGGGGACTCTATTTACTTTAAAAAAAGAACGTCCCCAAAACTGGCTGAGCGTTATGATTATAGTGTAATAATAGTAGGGGGACGCTAAAATTTCTGAAAATTAGTTGGAGTACTCCGTCCCCCCCTCAATTCGAGTACTGGGAATAGTCTTGTGTTATCTACATCAATGTAAACAATAATATGGCCAATTTTATTCAAAGAAATACAGATATTTATGGGACTCACAGGGGAGATTAACCCAGAACAGCGAATTTTTAAAAGTTTAGAAGGATAACAAATATTTATTTCATAGGTTACATACTAGACTATAAACTAGTGATCCCCAACATTTTATGAATGTGACTCTGAAATGTAAAATAAAACCATTCACGAGCACAAAAAAAATAAAAATAAAAAATAATTATCCTAGAGGTTAGGTTAGGTCAGACATTTAGTACACTTATACAACCATAAGGTGGTCATGATGGTCATGAGTTTGTCGCACTCCAGGATAATATGAACAAAAATAGAAATTATATACGATTATTAGTACCTATATATATATAAGAATTTTATTATATTTTCTCTGATAATATTTTATTTGTAACTGAATTTTTAATATTCTTACGAGAAGTCATAAGAAAAATTAAATTTTTTTTTTTGGATGGGGCAAAATATGTGTTGCTGTGTTACCCTTATTCTGAGATTTCTAAATTAGCCACTAAGGATTAACCATTATTACTTTTAAGTTTATTTCATTTTCAGTTCTTAAATCGTAAAAAAATTACGAAAATTGTAAATAACTTTTTTTAATTTTGCATATGCTTAATAATTAACATTTGCTCCAAGTTTGATGCATCGAACTTTGTATTATGAAACTTTTAGTGCAGTCTTACTAGGTGCCTACTGAAATGAAGTAGAAAAAAAGAGATTCAATGTTTTCGCTAAACATAGACGTAAACTAGGAAGGGGGTCATTGCCCCTTCCTAAGAATAAATTAGGAGGGGTAGTGCTCCCTCTAATATTTAACATACTTTGTTTTAAAATAAGTACAAAACAGCTGGTTATAGTTATTACTATACAGTTATTTTTTTAAATCTAAATTTTAAATTTTAGCTAATTTAACATAATGTTCACCCCCCCCCCCTAATAAATTTTCAAGTTACGCGTATGGAGCTAAGAATGTGTATAAATAAAGTGAAGTTTCCTCAACAATATTTTGCATATATATATATATTATATATAATAATTAAAATAATAAAAATATTTGCAATATTATAAACGCTATATGTTTTAGAGCAGTGATCGCTAATCTAACTAGGCCTAACAAATCTCTATATTTATAACTTAATTCTATGGACCATTATAAATTTAGTGTTTATAGTGTTTATAATACAAGGTCTTAGGTTTATTAATTTACAGATTTTTTTTTTTTAATGCTGTTCCGCTGATAATTCTTCTATTAATTAAAAAAAAAATATTAGTAAAATAATAATAACAATAATAAAGGATTTTTTTAATTTTTTTTTTTATTGCGTTTTTGATTATTACATTTTTATATAATACTGGTGCTGACTATCATATCTCTATTGTCGTCGATTGATAAACCAAAGGTTAATACAATATCAAATAATTTTCAGAATTGTTTGCAACATCCAAAATTTTCTTGTGGACTACCAACATTTTATCGCGTTATAGAGTTACAACACTTAATTAAAACTTTATAATATAATGTAAAACAAAATTAAACATTGAAAATGAAAAACAATAAATTATACTTACATATAGGTACATAAGATATCGATACTTAAAAATAATCGTTTTTAGTCGAAGGAAGAAGGATGTTGGTAAGGGTTTGGGATGCGAAAATTAAAAATAAACGACCGGGCATTTCGGTGTCTTTAGGAAAGCTTGTCGGAACGCAGAACGTGAGAAAAATTAAGAAATGTTTTCCGTTCGAAACAGAATAACATCTGGCAACCTCTCAATTATTATATTCCTGGTGAAAATTTGTCCAATTCACGAAACCAGCTAGGCTAAATCGATCATCGGATGTATTATTACGGTATCGAAGCATTGGAGAATTAAAATTATTAACATACACACGTACCCACTAAAATAATCGAGTCTTCTAATTGCAGAGGAAAAGAGTTTCATGAATCGGACAATTTATAGCTTTGTTGCGCGAATATATCACCTACATCAATAATATTACACACTATGAAATAGTTTTTAGTAGGTATACAAATACGTTATTAGTTATAATTTAGATTACGGACTAGACAGGTATGTGTGTGTGTGTGTGTGTAAATGCGAGTGTGTGTGTGTATGTGTATATATGCAATTAGGTACGTATAATATAATTTTATGTAAAAAGAGGTATAAAGGCGAGAACTACTGTTTTAATAATAATAATAATAATATACAGGCTATAAGGTCCTGATATGCGACCGTAGCTATTTATAAATATAATATAATATGTATGTTTGTACACAGCTCGTGTTATGGTTCTCTCTCTGTATAACCATCCAACCATCTATATATTATGGTGTCTAATGATCGTTGCTATTGAAATACGAGTTTTGCATTAGATACAGCTTGTCTATCGGATTGATCTGCTGGCCTGAAACCGCAGACGCAGCCCCGCCGACGTGATGGTGATGGTGATGGTGTTGGTGGTGCTGCTGTTGTACGTTCGGGTGATGGCCCGTGCCGTGAGCTACGGAAAGGTCTAGTGACATGGTGTCTGAACCGATCTCGTCCGCCGCGGTTATGCTACCGTCCAGCGACACGTCTGAACTGCAGAAACTGTCCACCGAATGATCGCCGATGTACGTACCTACGAACGATATGCGCAAATCGCGCGGATGTGTTAGACGATACAATAGTTACGTAGTATACCTAATAATATGTAAACACAATATATTTGAATTTGATTCATAAATACAGGGGCGAAAGCAGAAAAAAAAATTCGTTGGGGGGGATTGAAAAAATATGAAGTTTAATTTTTCGATAAATAGCTTCATTACATGCTTCATTACTAATTTTATATATATATATATATTTTTTATTCGCAAGTCTCTTGAAAAACTTTAAAACAAACATTTAATTTATAGGTCGTCATTTTTTTATTAATTTTTTTTTATATTTCGTGGAGGGGGGTTCAACTTTTAACCACTCCCTCCATATTAAATATAATTTATTAAATATATACTACGTATAAATACATATTTATATATACATGTATGTATATTTATATGCATGTGTTTCGTTTCCGAGGTAAAGGTAACGATCCAAACTCGTATGTGGTATATTAATAGTATTTTAAAGTTATGCAGTGAACAGACCCGTGTTACAATATGGATATCATACCTTCGGGCGAGTACGGTATGTTGGGGTTCAGCGGTTGACTGTTCTGATAGTTAGAATCGCTGCTGTCGTGCATGCTCAACGTACTCAAACTCAAATAATGATCTGGAACGCAAATAAATTAGTTGAATTATAAAATCGAATCGGGGGCAAAATACGATGGATCTGTCGGTTTCTATACACATTCGATAACTTGCGAATTTCGATTTTTATACGAGCCATCCGTTAGCTGTATACAATATCCGTATGATAAATATAATTGTACAGAATGTAAATACTGACCTCCAGAACATACACTAGACGTGGTGTTGGTCGGGTGTTCCGTTTCATTTTTGTCCGTGTTGTTTGCATTGTTGTTATTCATGTTCTTATCGTCCTGTTTGCTTTTCCGTTGGATTTTCTTCATTTTAGCTCTTTGATTTTGAAACCATACTTGTACCACTCGTACACTTAAGCCTGTATCTTTTGCGAGCGCTTCTCGGACCTGCGTTCGGAGAAAAGTACAAAAAAAACATATTGATTATGTGTATACAGTGTACGAAACTTTAGATGAAATGGCCTGAAAAATACAATTGATCACAAGAATGGCTATAGAAAATGTTAACGGGGAAAATCAATCCAGCAGACATAAAGGAGTATGAAAAAAGCCGATGAAAATGTTGTCCGACAAGCGAAATAATGAAAAAATAAAAATTAAAACAACCATAGGCATGCGCAGTGTTTCAAGTCATGACCATCAAATATTTTTACTGGGCTATTTATTTCTTTACAAATGACCTGTAGGTGCATAACTAGTATACTGTAGAAGCCTGTAGTGACTGTGTTTTTTTTTTTTGTAACCTATTTAATCACATTAAAGATTAACTTGGTAATTGAATACACTTTTCGGATAATTAACTTATTTTTAATTAAAGTCAGCTTGGACTGTTTGGCCCTAGGGCAAATATATTTAAACTGTCCAGGGGCAGCAAGAGCACACCCTGCTGCCCCTGTGCGTACGCTTATGAAAACAACTCAATTCGTACATACGCATATATTTTTTTTTCTTTTACAAAACGTCGAAACGGTACCCAATAATACAAAAAAGTAGGTAGATAATTCTTCAAGAAGTCATACCGTGACAATATCCTATACATTTGCCACAAATGTTCTAATATGTACAAATAATGAAAATTTAATTTTTTTTGAAATTAAATATAAAGTAAAAGTAATGACGATTAATGAATATTTAAATTTCCGGTTAAAAACATAACTGTATGTAATTAAGCAATATTATTCACATATTAGTTTTCCGTAGCTCATTATATTTATTTTAGTAATTCTCGGATCATTTATCTATATTTCTAGTGCTTTTTCTCGTTTCCATTTTCACTGGTCATTCTCTTCATTATTATACTCCTATACAATATAATTATATTGACACGTTGTTCTCACCTTTCTACAAGGTTTAGGACTGACTTCAAAAGAAGCTTTGAACTGCCGCCGTTGCACCGAAGTCAATATGGTCCTGGGTCTTTTCGGTCCTCGGCGGCCGTCTCGAGGCCTACAATTCTCATCCAAAACAAGGCCGTCGTCTGAAAAAAAAACACCCCACGACGGTGGTCAGCATCAATTCATTAAATATTTATTGCATGAACACGTGCGTATACGCAATAATAATAATAATAATATATGATCGGATGCAGTGGCGTAGCGATGTGGGTTATCAAGAGGCGGCCACCTCTCAATTTAATGGGAGGTGGGTGGGTATCAAAAAATACCAATTAGCCTTTGAACTTTTTTGAGTTCCCCACGTCACTGATCCAGTGTACTACTGTAAGGATGAGGTCATCGTTGTTATTATTATTACCTGGTTGCGGACTGCCCACGGTCTGTTGCATCAAAAATATTTCTTTTTCAAAATCCGTGCGACAGAATAGCTGTCCACCGCCAGCTTTGACCACGTATTGCTGGCCTTTCTGCAACGGTTGCATACAAGCCACACACGCGAAACATCCCACGTGATAAACGTGGCTGGGTCCGGCGCGCATCACGAGCTCTCTGGCTCCCAGTGGTTCGCCACACCGACCGCATTTGACGCCAAACAGTCTGCGTACACAATAACACGAACGAATTCCATATCATAACATAGTAATTATATCGAGTAATCGTGACTAGGCTCAGTGAAAACTTCTGGGAAAAGTACATATTGGGACACAGAGCCGCATTTAGGGGGAGGGGCACTGGCTACAATTACCCCGGGCGACAGTTTTTTGGGGGTACCAAAATTTTGTGGTCGGAAATTTGTTCATTTGTAAATTATTGAACTTCTAAAATTATATGTATGCCATTTATGTAATTTTCATTTGTGTTTGAAGCAATTTTATGTCAATCATTAGTGTTCAAGGCCGTATTTAGCACCTATTGGGCCCCGGGCCTGAAATTTTATATGGGCCCTTTTGACAAAACATGCTTTACAAAGCTGCTCACTACGCTCACAGAACGATAAATTTTTTTAACTATTTCACAAATTGTCAATTGCATTATAAAATTATAAAATTAATAGGTTTATACAATTTAGGTCTATAAAATTACTAATTTTAGTATGATAAAAAATGTGTATCGGCTTAAAATTATTTGGGCCCCTTTCACTCAGTGCTGGCCCGACAGTTTTCGGGACCCGGTGCAGAATTTTGCAGGGCCCCATACAAATATATTAATTTATTAATTTATTTAATTTGTTTAATTATTATTATTGTTTAATTATTTAATTTAATTTGTTTATATAAATTTATATTTTTTCGTATTATTATATAACTAAATATATACTATAACTGTATTTCGAATTGTCGTCGACGATAAACAATTTTACAAGTGCATGCGCGTATAATACTTCAATGCTATGCGTAATTGGTACCATCTTAATTTTCATCGATAACAACCCGTTTGTTGAGAAGACCACACGACTACGTGGGTGGCGATTTGCGTACTGGGACTAAATTATTTTTATTTACAAATAAGGTAATAATAGTAATATATAATTTGTGGAGCCCCAAGGGCGTATTTAGATATATTTTTTTTATGGGGGGGGGGACTATGGTATTTTCTCCAAATGAAATTCCTCAATTTAGCCTATTAAAAACAAAAGTTGAAAATTATTATACAAAATTTACCTATAATAACGAAAACAAGTAACAACTATACGACGTAAACCGATCACCGTGTAGTGTTATCGGTCATCGCCATCACTTCTCGGAAATTTTTTAGCTCATAGGGGTTCGTATAAAAATTGTACGGTGATTGAGATGCCACAACGCGTGTATATCAGTAAATCAATTCTAGGTAAAAGAAATCGAAATTACGATAATGCAGCAGTACCGTACGTCAAAATTAAGCACAATGTACCGATCTCAATAGTATAATATCGTTACGATTAAAATCGTCAGACCCTTTACATGAATAACTTGTTCGTTGTTACTAATAATTCTTTATAAAATTATATTGAACTTTTACGATTTACATCTGATAGGACATAATAAGTAGACTAAATAAACAATTCCTGGATTTCGGGGAGAAAGGTTGAAGCCCCCTCAGTCCCCCCATAAATATACCCCTGTGGGGCCCCATACAAGCGCGGGGCCCGGTGTGATCGCACCGCTCCCCCCCTAGGGCCGGCACTGCTTTCACTTGGTTACTCGAGAGGGCCCTGGGGCTATTTCCCCGACTAGACCCCCCCCTTATCCGGCCTTGTCAGTGTTTGTCCATGGCACTCACTGCGAAAGCCGGTTAGGTTATATTAGGTTGTTGAACACGACTTATACAATATTATTATTATTATGGTATACACCGCACGATTTAATCCTCAACGATACATGCATTTTTTTTTACCTTTTATTCGTTTCTGTACAGTTCTAATCTGCATAGATAGGTGTTTGTGAGTATCGGTAGGGACATAAGTATATAAATATAGGTTTCACATGGGAATAATTTTAAAAAACCTATAACTCTCTAAGCTCACGGCATACTATAGTGTAATACGAACAATTATAAATCAAATATTTTGATAAATTTATCTTTCAAATCTGTTCCCCATAAAAAATTAACCATAATCTACTTTAAAGAAAATACAAAGTGCATCGGTTGAAATTGTAGGTTTAGACCTCGAACTTCAATTTTTTCATGCCTGATATAATTGTGTAGAGGATTTATCCTGAATATAAAACTGAACTAAATCGTGTTGAATATATATCTTGAATGCTTTCCAGTTTACGAATAATATATTAAGTTGTGTTATCATTGTTTAAATGATACATCTAATATAAATATGATGTAATTTATATAAATTAACACGAGAGAAATCGAGAAAAAAATACATCATTGTACAACGAATAATACTAGTAATGATGTGACGTGAATGATAAATGTCAGTAATTGCAGTATGATACTAATTAATTTATAAAGATATGTAGTTATGATGTCAATAATTGTCAAAAAGTATAATAGTACGGAATAATAGTGTAGAATATAAGGGAATTCTTTGTGTAGTAAATCGAGGGTCTGTAAATAATATTTAGGAGACATTGATGGAAGAGCATAAAATAAATCTACGTAAAACGGTTGACTTTTACGTAATAGTATATTACACCAATACAAATATAAATAAAACGGAAAACAATAAAATAACCCCCTCATAGACGTCTTTGGTACACGTGTAAATAATATCGCTGTTAGCATAATAATAATACAAATATATATATATATATATATATCGTTTTGTGTATTTGAAATGTTTTCTATATATCTGTATATTTGTACATATGTATAATCAATGACGTACTTGGTAACTTAGTTTCCAGAGGGTGTTTTGATGGTAATTTTTCTTTGTTTATTTTTGCTTTTACTCCTTTCCTCTAGAATCATACTGTCTAGACAGTTATGAAAAACGGATTTATGTTATTTAATTTTTAAGGTAATGAATGTAATAATTATTAAAAAAAATATTATAATGAAAATAATATCTATGCACAACCGAAGATCATTACTGTACAAACCTATAATTCATATAGTAGATTTTAATGTAGAAGAATATTTACAAAAACTTTATAATAAACTGAACATCTGTAAATTTCTTAGTAGCAAAACACTAGAATGGACTGGACACGTGTTGCGTGCAGAAGGATGTCTTATAAGAAAAGTGCTCGATGGAAATCTGAATGGAAAAAGACCCATAGGGAGACCACGTCAAAGATGGTTCAATACTGTGAGGAAAGATCTGACATGAGTGGACCCTACCTATAACATCAATTTGGTAGTAGATAGAATGCAATGGAGAGGTATTGTAGAAGCGGCATTAGACCTTAATGGTCTGTTACAAGCCTAAGAAGAAGAAGATTTTAATGTGCATTATGATTTATATATGTCTTAAAACGCATTATAATAAAACGAAAACGACGATACGAACAGTTTAAAAAATCGAGATTAATATGTTAAAAATTACAAGTCGTTCCCGTGCGATCTCTGTTGCCGGTTTACAAATATACAAAAATAACTCTTAGGTGTTCTGCTTTCGGGGCACTGTCAGGGGGTACTGAAACGAATGCCTATAACATGTATAAGATATATATATATATATATATATGTGGTTCGTCACCTACAAATGTGGTTGGTCCCCATAATCGGTTACGTTTTTGTTCACGATTCTATAAAAGATTTTTACAACGAGCTTATAAGAGTGTCTGTGGGTGTCCGCGGCTTACGAACATGTTGTTTTCGTCCATCTCGTCAATAACTTTGACGTTACCGCGTGTGCACAACCGTCGATCGCAAAGCACTTTATAAGATCGACACAGTTCGACGTGAGTGCACTGTTCCCGTAACCCAAGGACAATCTCGTATTGCAGGCATGCATTTCGCACACTATACTGACCACTGCGTACGACTTCATGACGGCTACCGCATCGTGGCGCAAATCTTCAGTTCGGATATGTTGTACACACACACACACACACACACACACACAAACATAATAAATACGTGAACTCGTGTACGTATTACATATTATAAAAATGTATTTGCGCATAGGCACGTTTTACACGACAACGCTTGCGTGTACTACCCGGAGGTAGATAAATGTCGATCGAATTCTTCTCCGGGCGGTGTTTACCTGTCATAATCGTTTTTGCAGTACAATCCGTTATGGCGGTAGTAGCACGACTTGGACAGCGGGACGCCGCACGCCGAACACGTGACGCACTGCTCGTGCCAACTGCTCGAGCCCACTCGCATCAAGAATCTGTCCACGATCTTCGTCCCGCAGCCATCGCAGCTCGCCGGGCCATCACCGCAGTCGCCGTCTGCTGACAACAAATAACCGCTCAATTATCGCACACATGCACGCATAATGTTACGACACTACAATAGTAGTACCTACCACGTACGCGAAACGTTATGACGGTGATAGGGCCGAATGCGACGGCGGCGGCGGGGGGGGGGAACGTTCGGGGGAGGTGGTTGAAAAAAAAAGTAAAATGTTGTACGTTTCATTACTCATTGCATTATATGTAAATATTTTTATACATCTTGTTTGCAAGTCTCACGGGAAACTTTGAAACAACTATTAAATGTGTAGTAAGTCAGGACATGTTTTTATAACATTATTTTTGATATTTCGAGGGGACGGGGGGTTGAAGTATCAACCCTCTAAGTTCATGCCTGGACCGAGATTCCGCTGAGACAAATGTGAACTTTTACCGCAGACATTACACGTATCTACGTGTAGGCGCACACGCAATAGATGTAGTGTTATTAAAATTGGACGCATATCGTTTGATGTTGCCTATTACATCCACCAACCAACCATCACTCTGCTAGCACGTATGCTGCGGTTAAGTTTATTTACAGATATACTTAATAACTTTACTACTTTAATAAATGCTTAAATACACACCATCTCTTACAACGTTCGTGTGTATTCGAGCAATATTTATACTTCACAACGGTATACCTAAACCTGAGAACGGATAAAAAATATACAGTTCTTGTAAATATACCTATAGAAATAATGAATAGACCTTAAGACAATTTCGTAGAGACATTTCAAGAGGAATTGTAAATAGTATTAAATTCCAACGGTTCATCCCCGATCCCCAGGAATAATAAAAAAATACACTGGATATAAGAATACGAATAAAAGTTGTTAAAATCTTTTTCTCGTACAACTTCGTGCACGAAACAATGTTTTGGGTGAATTTCGAATGATATTTTTCGATTTTGACTTTAGAATGAAATGCTGAAAGCAGTTGAATGAAAAGTTACAGGATGGATTTATTTATTTCAAATAATTATTTTCATTTAATTAAGTATATTATAAATACGGAGTACACGAATACGATGTATTTTGACATTTTATAAATAACAAAATTGAATGATGTGCGATAGACCGGATAATTTTGAACAGCATAAAGGTAATTTATATGAATACCAATATTATAATTTATATTTTAAACTTAGTATCTATAAGTGTTAATAAGTATTATTATTATTATAATATTATATTGTACCATATAGACTTAAAGTGTTATACATGTAAAAGTTTATAAGCGTAATGGTAATGGACAGGCAGTTAATGTATTTTTAAATATATTATACTACATATTGTATATTGTATTACGAGATGATTCGATTTAGAGCGACAGATAGGGCATTCTAAAATTTCAATAAATCGTCTGCAAAATTAATTAAAGTAAAATAAATCACCATGCATTTAAAATGTTATTTATCTATAACTAAATTATCTCTCTGATAAAACTGTCCATTTTTTTAACTGTAAAACTAATTGCATTGGTATATACATATATATTATACCATGTTCGGTGGTTATTAGCTATTAATTATTATTTATTACAAATCAATTAAATATTTTTCTTTACGTAGATGCAAATCGATTTAATTAAATTTTATATATGTTAGTTTGAAGTTGCATTTTTTATAATAATTTACATTATGAATATCAATATAGATATTTCTAATGACGTGAACAACAATTTATTACAATTTTTAAAATGAAAAATATTGAAAATATAAACTTTATTTGAAATATTATACATAAATGAAACTAAACATTATCATTATAATATTTTTTACGTTCGTTAATATAGTTGTAAATAAATGATCTGCTTAAATTTAAATGTTCAGGACAGAATATATATCGTATACCATCACGTTATGCAATGCTTGTAAAGTAATTAAATTTATTTATATATTAAAAACATTCGTGCTTATTAATATGTTATTCGAAACCTTAGAAAATTAAATTATACTATTTATAAATATAGCAGTCAATTAAATTCTATAATTCTACAATAAATATAATAATGTACTATTTTACTACAATAATATGTGTGATGTAAATGCAATTTATTTTAAGTGCAGTACGGTGCTCAAGTAAAAACAATAAATTTGTACTTTGTAGGAAAATGGTTTAATCTATTTTTAGATAATCATTTGATGACCCTGAAGCACTATTTGGCATTTTCAGGTCGCGAATAATGCCGATTTTTATTATTTTAGAAAAAAAGATAATTATTTGATGGGCGAAATTTAAAAATTTTATATTGTTATAAAATTGTGATATAAATAAATTAATTGATTAATTTCTAAAAAAAATAGGCACATACATTAGTGTTTAAATTTTTAATAAATAATTAAGTTATAAGATATCTAACAACCTATTAATTATTTAATTATTATGATTGTTATTATAAACAAAATTATTTATTCTTACATTTCATTGATATTTACTATATAATCAAATATTGTTATAAAAATATCGACATCATTAAATAAATATATACGTAATACGATCGATTGCATGAATCCGAGTAACACCACGAATGCAATATACTATATTATGTTATGTATATGTATGTACTTCTGTAAACAAAATGGCACAACGTATGTCTAGAGCAAGTACATTGCCAATACAAACTCAATGATAATAACTCAATCGCGCCTATTTTCTATCATGTGTACTCACTGATTGATACAGATCTATCTATATCAAGATAAATGTAAAAAAATAAAAATATTGTAACCCAAATTTGTAATAGAAAAATTAACCAAAATAAAAGTGATTTATTTATATTATTTACTCCAACTGGAACTCTAATCTTTATTTTATAACCATAATCGAAACCGGTAGTGACTTATTATTTTCTTAAGTATTGAAACGGGGCCGAAATCGAAATAATCCTTAAGACTCCGAATTCCAAATCTTAGTCATTTTACAAATGTGTTAACGGTTTAAAGCTTACCTATAGATGTTATGTACTTTGAAACTTATCGAAGGCCTCATGTCTATTATAGTATAGAATATTACTATAACGTAAGGGCGTACCCTGGGAGGGGGTTTCGGGTCCGGCCCTCCCAGTGAAATTTCTATATACTCAACGGTTTAATAGTAAATAGTATAATAATAGTATATAGTGTATTTTAATTTCCCATTATCTTCAATATACAAAGTTTATAGATTATATAATATACCTATAATTTATAAACCATACTATAGTAGGTATATTAACAATAATTTGTTGATATTGAGTTATATTATATAATTATAATTAGAGAACAGATAAAATAAAAATGTTGGACCTCCCCATACAAAGTTCCTGGATACGCTCCTGCTATAACACGTACTGGCTAAATATACTATAATTGTATAATATAATTTATAACACAAACGTAGGTACTACATGTACGTAGGTATAAAATACGTATATATTACATCAAAATCAATTTTCGACGAAGTACACATCACGTAAGTCACAGACGGATAGTAACCGTGTAAAAAAAAACATAGGTATAAACTAGTGGTTTTTAACCAGTGCGCGACGCACGGCTCTCATGGGCATCGTCGGTTAGAAAACAATAGAAACTAAATATAAAACGGTAATATAATATAGTTTATGTTATCTTTTTTTGAGGTCGTGTAATAGACCGCGCACTTATACATGTACGCGCGCACGTGTGTGAGACAGATAGGCCGACTATAAATTTGAAATAGGCCTATTTATGGTTTTATGATACCGAATAGGTAACGACTTACTTCGATTACAATATGACAGTCAGAACTAACAATTTCTGAACAAGAACAACTGATAGACTTATCCTCAAATTGAGTAACAAAATCCAAATTAACATCATCATTTTTACCAGAATTCTGGATAACTATAAAGAAGCAGTATTCGTTCGTAGCCAATAAGACTATCGGTACTTTGATTCCATTTGCTTCTTTATACTTATGCGAAATGGGTTTTTTCGGCCTTGGCAGTAATTAAAACTAAATATAGATCAAGACTGAATACCGAAAAAGATATAAGAACCGCGTTTTCAAAATTTACGATGTATTATTATGATAATATTATACAATAAAAAAAAAAGCACAGCCGTCCAATCAAATATTAAAATTATTCCTATTGTATTAATTTTTAATTGTAAAAATTAATTTAATAGAAAATTGTTCCTGATATTAATAATTTTTTTTTTAATTTAATCGTTTAATAAAGTTAGAATAAATAATGCGAATTTGTCTATTTCAAATGTTCGTACAGAAGTCGTATATTTATTTCTAAATCAAAAGGACTCGTGGACCTAAAAAGGTTGAAAACCACTGGTATATACAGTAGCGTACGTAGGATTTAAACTTAGAACTCCATGCATACGCTACTGGGTACCTATATACTGTTATGGCCGATGCTCGATTGGATGAAAAAATTGAAAGAACAGAGGCGGCGGTTACCCGTTGGTACGAATAATAAAAGCGTTCCTCAATTCCTGACCGTTCATAATGCGTTTCGAACAACGACTGAAGCGTTTGAAATGAAAAAAAAAGTACGACAGCTACTCTTCCCGTCCGTCGGAGATGAGCACCGCGCGCGTTATATCTGAACGCGAGATAACTTTTAATCAAGTTGACTAATTTAATCAAGTTACAACTAAGTTTACATGTTGTTTAACAATATCGTGCGGGTACTCACAGTTGGAGATCCTGGGAAACCCATCCATGTCCCTGGCGACGTGCCGGTGCAGTATGTCCAGCATCATTTGATCGGATCGGCGCGGCGTCTTGGTCGCGATTGAAACGAACGCGTGTGGCGGCGGGTATTTTTAAAAACTATAATAATAATAATGTATTCGTGAACGACGTGGCGTCGGCGGCGGGTGAGCGGAGGGCGCGTGTTAGTGCGCGGTCGTGCGCGGGCGGTTAGGTACTAACGGTGACGGGCTCGATGAATCGATGCTGTCGTGTAGTTCGCGTCAACGGTGGTGCCGCACTGCACGGGATCGGAATCGGCGGCGATGGCGTTGCCGCCCGTGTTCCGCGAAACACGCCTACCGAACGCAGCGGTTGGCCGCCGGGACGTCCTATCGATCGGCCGGCTGTCCAATGATGGCCGACGACTTCCTGCCCCCCGCCGGCGTTCGGTTTCCCTGCAGCAAGTTCGCGGAGGCGTAGCGCTGCACGTCCGCATTGCCGGGTAACAAAGCTGCCGCCGCAGCTTCTCCATACGGTCCCCGCCTTTTATCGACGTTCGAGCCCGCGAATTCGCCGTGTCCGTGTCATCGCCCACCGCCTCGAAGATATTTCTGTCGCGCGTTCTTCCTTGTCGTCCATTCACTTCATTACTTCCGTTTGCCGTCCGCGCGTCACCCGCACCGTAACCGTACGCAGTACAATATAATACCGTATACGATATAAAGTATACATACACATAGTACAACGTAATACCCGGCGTTTCTTTTAATACCGGCTTCGTATACCACCGAACACGCACGCGGTATAGGTATGCACCGGACACGTTTAGCGCATATTACCAACGTAGGTATATACCACGGTATTTCCACGCACGTGCGTACCGCGGTATATGAGAACGTCCGTCCTCGTATTACGTCGCGTATACTTATACACGTGTAATTGTGCAGCTACTTGCGTGCACGTGCGCAGTTTTACGACGTCATAATCGTGAGTATACATTCTGTGCACGCACCCGTATCTAAGGTTGCTATGTGCTATGTAACCTATACGCAGCGGATATCATCGGTGTCTCGAATCGATCGTGGTTGAAAACAAATGCGAACGCAGAAAAATGTTTATCCTTTACCCGTATTGAAATTTTGAGGCCAAAAAATTTCTTATAATTAGCGAAACTTCGACTTCTAGACGTTAGAAACGTCGCGATGTTCCATTGCGTACATTAAATGTCTGATTTTTGATGCATTATATTATACATCTGCATAAATATTGCAATAATATCCCCGGTATAATAAGATATAATATTTTAAAATAACCTACTCGTTTTGTACGTACGCTACGCGTATGCGCATGAAGTTTGGTTTAGCTATATGTGTAAGTTTATAGTATACCTAAAGTAGATTATAAATATATAAATGGTAATATTTTATATTTTATTTCATTTAATTAACTGCATTCGACGATTTTAATACGTACCTCTATATTACGTCTGCAGCATCTACGTCATATTTATAATACAAATGTTTGATATATTATATTATATATATAGGTGTAAATATTTTTATATAATATCATACATATATGTATACAGTTTATTGAAATTTCTGTGTTTGATAAAGGTGTACGTTTAACAGATATAGTTGCAGCACTATAGTGCACTATATATATATATATATATATATGTACTTATAGAGAATATGCAACTTTTTATTTCACATCGCACATATGTATAGACCGTTATCACATTGTGCTATGGAAGCATGGATAGCAAATAGTGTTTGAAATTTGAGGAATGGAAAATTGTTCATAATATATTTTAGCATATAGAATATACTGCGCAGTACACAAGGATGCACCGATTGAAGGATGGAGTGGGGACTAACTATAGTTAGGGGTCTATAGACCCTCCTACTAAATAGCTGGTTCCCTATTATATTGGTAATTTTATTATTAATTGAAAAAAAAATATAAGTTATCAAAATTGAAGCATAATATTAGAATTATACTTGTCATACCAGGAACCGATTAGAGATTATTATTGTCATGACGACTCGGTGTTACTTTTCTAAACTATGTAGGTATACAATATTACAGACAAAAACGGGTTTCAGGAACCAAAATTCTTTACGGAAAGAAGTATTTTGAAACTTAAGTGAAATTGTCGAAAAAATAATTCTTATATAAGCTGAAATATACAAAATCAAATTATTGAAGCGTATGATGAAATTATTATTCAAAAAATTAGTTATTAAAACTATAATTTTATTTTAATAAAAATAAATTTGTTTCTAATAACAAACGAGAAAATATTAGAAAGAATTTCCGAGGGAAGAACTCTATGGAGTAGTATCAAGAAAAGGAGAAATTAATGGATTGGACATGTTTTGAGACATGGTGGGTTGCTAGGATTAATTATAGAAGGCTGCATGAAAAGAAAAATTGAAAAAACCACGAATGGAATATATGCAACAAATAATAGAGGACCAAGGGAGTACTTCTTATGAAGAGACAAAGAGGAAGGTAAGTAACAGGGAAGAGTGGAGAATTGCTACAAACCAATCTCAGGATTGAATACCAAAGAAGAAATTTGTTTTGTATTATCTGATAGCGCATCAATTATGGAAAATGTTTCATGATGTGTTTGATACGTTAAATTAATGGCAATAAGGAGTACAAAATTATTGATTCATTTTTAAAATGTGTTCTTGTGTAACCTACAATAGGTCAAAAGCTGTTAAATTATACTTTACCAATCAGTAATTTTCTTCAATTAAGTGATTTATTTTGGAGAATTTAAATAAGGTATATGGTATAATATCTATTCTTTAAAAAATGGGAACTAATTTTGAAAATTAATTTAAAATTATTTTCAACGAAGCTAATGAAATTGCTATTGCCTTAGAAATAAGAATCCCTATGCCTAGGGTTAGTAATAATTAATAATTTATCAAAAATTATACCAAATGGTGAAATATACCATCAGAAGAATATAACCGTGCCATTTTCATTCCATGGTTAGATTATTTTATAAATAGTATATTTGAACGATTTTTATAGCACAAAGATGTTTTTAAAAATTTAAGTGCCTTCTACCAATTGGAAATACTTAAGTATTACATAGAATTCTATCCATTTTCAAATAGAATACTCACTGTTCTTGAACTAATAATTTATAAACGCACATGAGTACAAAGGTACATATATTTAATTTTCATAAAAAAAAAACCAATTATTATTTATTATTATTATACTTTATAAATATACTTTTATAAATAAAAAAAATTATATGTAAAATACAGCACATTATTCCAATAATTATTAATAAAAAATTGATAAATTTAATTATTTAGTAATTACTAGGGCTAGGATTTCGATGTACTTTGCATTTTTTTCTGAAGCTTTCTGTACGATGCTCGTTTTGTTACAGATATGTTTTAGGTATTTTTAAATTAGAATAAGAAATTTAATTTTGCATTTTTTAACAATTTTTGATTTTAAAGTCATTTTTCTTATTTTTTAGGGCATTTTAGGGGTTTTTAAATCATTTTTGGTGTTAATGAATTTAAAATTATAGATTATAGATTTTTTCTACCGACGGATTAGTGTTAGTATGCAATGTAAAAGTTGTTGTTGATAAACGTTTTACAATACAACATATATCAAGAGACAAACATATAAATGGAGTACAACGAAGAGAACAAATTGAAGAACAAGAAAAAATATGTACATCTACAAAAACTTATTGGGGAAAAACAGGAGACACGCTCTCGTGATTTAGTGTAACAACAAAGAATAATTTAATATTAATAATGAAATATTTATGTACATTTAATGTGATTTTTTTAAATTTTAAAAAGTTATTTTAAATGCATTTTTTGAGTTTTTTAAGTAATTTTTGCATTTTTTAAGGTCATTTTTTGCGATTGTTAAGGACGTTAAAATTCCAACTCTAGTAATAACTATATTTTTTTTTTTTATAATTATGTCATTTTTCAATAAATTCATACCTGTAAAAATAAAATATACATTCATTATATTTTAGTAATATGTACGTATAGTTTAGATTTAGTTTCAATAGTTATTTGTTTTTTTTTTTTTTTAATGGATCAATCGCCTCGTCGATTGCTTTACATCTTTTGTTTGCTTGATAGTCTTTCGACAATTTCGGAGTGTAAAAATATATTTGGAGGAAAATAGACAGCGGAGGAGTATGATGTTTATTTGTGAAGCAAAAAGGAATTTTAATTTTTTTTTTGAAGAAGAAGAAGGAAATAGACAGTGGAGGAAAATGGTCCCGTCCTAAAATTATGCGTACCGTGACGGGCTCATGGTGTGGTACGCCTGAAGTGTTGACTACGAGATTTGAAAGCACGTAATAAAACTGCCCCCTGTGCAATAATGTGTACTATAAACATACAAGGTATGTTTCCATATAATATGCAACATTAATTTGAATGTTGAATTTGCGTTAATGTGATGTCCCTGATACTGCTAATGTCCGATGTTTGCAACCTAATCATAAACGTTTTAAATCTGTTAATTTCTAACATACCTGCAACTGCAATATAATGTTTATAACAAAAAGTTATATTTGGGTTACATTGTAAACATAGTTAGAACGTCATATTCAAACAATGAAACCTACTAATAATTGGAAAACAATTATAATAAAATACCACAACCCGTATGCGGGTATCGAACTCCGAACATCGACATATGTTTTAAATGTATTCTAAACATTACCTGTTTCGACCAATACAAAAAAAAGATCATTTTCCACTCAGAATAAAAACATACTTGAGAAATACAATGAGTCAGAATAGACTTAATGTTTAGCTATGCTTCATATTTTTTACATGTATGTACATAATTAGTCTTTGAAATAAAATCGAGAAATCGATGTTCGAACTTCAGAAGTACATTCGGTATTAGGAAAAAATAAGGATTAAGGTGACTGAACAGTTCGAAAGGTAAGCATTCGAAATCGCCATCCTTTACCGGTCAATCGAACTGGTCCACACGAGCGCGCATAGGACAGACGATATAAACTTTTCTAAGACTTCCTCCCTCTCCCTACGTGCCATCGCGCGGCTCGCGGTCCATGTCCGTGCCCGCGCGTTACGCGATCCCTTCTGTCGTATGCGCATTTGTTTTTTCCATTGTTCATGACTAGAGCCCGAATTTATATGCATTTGCATGTTTGTACTAAGTGTATGCACGTCTATAGAGGTTTAAAATGTCCACGATTTATATCACACCGAATTTAAACACAACATTTTATATTGCATATTTCGAGGGTTATTGTATATTTGTTCATAAATGCATATAATATGTATATTTAATGGCTTTTTAATAAATTAACTATTTTAATTTACAGTAAATTTTGTAATCGCCTCGTATAGAGCACGAATAGACATGATAGGTATTAAACTTCAAAAATATTATTTTTAAAGATTTGTATTTTTTTTAAGTTTTCTATTAGATTTTGAGAGTAGGTAACTTCAAATTATCTAAAATATTTATTTTCAATTTTTTTTTTTTTTTATTTATACTATCGATTTTAAGTTTCCTAAAAGTTTTAGATTGATTTAAATGATTTTAAATATAAAACAGTGGATATTATCATTTTTTTTTGTTTTTGATAAAATATTTAGAATTTTAATTGGTATAAAAGTATGGTTTTTTTTAAAAAAAAAACATATTTTAAAAAGTGTAACATAATGCATATAATTGCATATTTAGCCACTTTTTCTTTGCATATTTGCATCATATTTGACATTTTTTAAATGTTCTATTCATGACCGTTCATTGTAACTGGTTTCACCCCATGTATTTTTTTTTATAAACATTAAACACTTCGCGCCTGATTATTATTGTTACGCCGTTGTATACCTAACGTGTTCTTTCGTTGTATGTTCGGTTGCGTAATCTCGATTGTGCCGTCAACAATTGCGGCGATACCACCGTACGCGTAGAACCGCAGCGCCCAAACGGTATTATCATATTATTGGTAACTGATCAGGGCCGTGAGGTTAGCATTACAATGTTAGCAGAACTCTTCAAAAACCTCCCAACAATAATCAAATAGATTTGTTGGACATTGTTGGGTATTCGTTGAAACTTGTCGGGCCCCCAATTTTTAACTGTCCCATGATGCATTTTGCACTGCCAACTTCACACTTTGCATTACATTTTTAATTAGTCTCTTCGAAAACTTCCCAACAATGTTCAAATAGACTTGTTGGATATTGTTGGATACTTATTGGAATTTATTGGACCACACATAATTTTTTGTAAAGTTAGGTGTGAAGTTCGCAGTACAAAATATATCACGGGATAGTTAAAAATTGGAGGTCCAACAAATTCCAACAAGTCTATTTTAACATTGTTGGGAGATTTTTGGTAAGTTCTGCTAACATTGTAATGCTAACTTCACGGCCCTTAACTGTACAATCATTATTATTACCAATTATTATTATTATTGTTTAGTAAATGCTATAATATATTATTATTCTTTATTATTATATTTAAACACACATATACATTTTTATACACCGATAGTTGCTCACCACGTTTACCAAATACCCGGTAATAGCCCGTGGAAAATCAGTAAGATCAAAGAAAAATAATCAATATACATATATATAAAATGTAATTAATGAATAATATTTTACAGTTACAACTCATTACGACTAAATAAAAACTCTATGTGCAATCATTTATATTATATTATAGTTTATTTTATCAAAAAAGTGCCTTAAAGATTGTGCACAAGCGTACTTTCAGATTTGTGTTCATACTTAAAAATAAATACTATAAATACTTAAAGATAATTTTATCTCGCTCCTTCCAAAAATAATCATGGGCGCTCACCGGGTAGCGCAAATATTAGTTTTTTGGTGGCTTTAAATAAATTAAGGGGCGCTTAGCCTACTTTTATTCGTGCTTATGAGTATTATAAAACATTTATGCAAAGTTAAATTCAAGTTCCAAAAAAATTATTATGAATTAACATTTGATTATATGATGTATGGTTATGGCATTGTTTCATAAATGAGTTGTGTGTATTTTAATTTAAATCCGTTAAAATATATTAAAATATAGTTTAATTTTATTCGGAATTCATAGGTAAGTTAACAATTATCAATTATGTATAGGTGCATTCGAACATTTTTAAAAATTATAATATATAAAATTATTTGAATAGAGTCCGTAAACATTTGCCTACTATTCCCGTTAACCTCAAAAAAACTAAAAAGGCTATTTATTTACCTTGCATTTGATCAGTTATTTTATTACATATATGTAGTTGGTATAGGTTCATGTGTAGGATATAAGTAGGCTCCATTACACTATAGGAAATTGAAGATAGTCAATGATTCAAATATCGACATGATAAAATTATTTTTTCAACATGTATATGCAACTCATATAATGACTATGATAGTTGTTTGTAATACATATTATACATAGCTAAAAAGATGCATCCCATGTAACACATTAGAATCAGCTGACAGTCGCTGTAAAACTTTATTGACAATATTGGAATTAACTGCACAAGAGCTTATATGTAGGTACATATATTATTTTATTTCAGCGTTCAACAAAAATAATACACATGAAAGCAGCTATCAATTACGTTTGTAGCAAATAAAAATATAAGCTTACCTTATTCATACTTTTGTACAAAATATGTAATATTATACATATCTATATAATCGTTGAGATTTATGCACTTCCATGTATATTTGAAAAGTGTCTACGTTTTATAAATCTATAGTTGTAGCGTTATATACACATAACGGAGTCGGATATGCGAATTTACATTTGACTTATTTAAAAATATATTAGTAAAATTTATTGATGAAGACGTTTTGGGTGCAACATTTTAGGTGCAGCATCAGCTGATCCTTATTTAAATTCAAATTTTAGTCCTGTTTGGACTTGTGTAGATGTATTCATATCGAATATATTGAATTTGAAAAAATCAACATAAGCCTATTAGAGAAATTGTTTTTTAATAGCTAGAACCGTAATGAAATAAGTCTTATTAGGTCGTAGTAGTGAATAGTGATGCAACAAAAAAATTTCAATACATTTTATTCGGATTATTAAAAGGATATGGATTCGTGAAGGTTGATAAATATAATAATATACATATTTTTTGATATATTACATAGTTATTCAATAGTTGCATATAAGTATGACATAAAAACATTTTGTAGTAATCTGATATTAATGACTTATTACACGTGAAATTAAGATTATTATTATTTTACACAATTTATAGAATTATATTTATTAGTTATAAAGTTTTTTTTAAAAAATACTTTTACACACTGCAAAAATTAATCATCGGAAAAAGATAGAAGCGTAGTATATTTGATACACCTATATTGTCGATCTTACTCGATTTTGTTGTTACATTTATATACCTATAGATATATGATCTATAAAGGCTCCTAATATCTGAAATACCATTCAATTTTAACTTTAAATTATAAAAAATATACATAGTTATTGATAAAATAGTTATTAATTACCCCGGGGAATTAGTTTCATAATTTGACGAATAAAATTAATATTAAATAAATATATATAATTAATAAATTATTAAAATTTATAAAAAATAAATATTATTATACTAATATTGTTATTATTTATGTATATATATATTGTATGAAGGTTACAGATTAAATGAAAAACAAACCGTTAAGTGTAATAAAATGTATTTGTTCTTAAACTTGGTGGTCAATTGTATTACAATGTGCAAGTATGTATAATGTGAATGCACTTTGTTTATTTCGGTTTTATACATTAAAAATATGATTTTATTTAGGTTTATTACTATTTTTAATTTAATATATGTATAATGATGCAATGTTTTTTTTAATACTAATTGTACTTGGGAAAAAAAAGGAATAAGTACTCTACAAAAATAATTTGGTACTTATAATTTACCAGCTACTAAGTTTATGATTTCTTCCTTATTCAAATTATCCGCTATGATTGCGTCATCTCTTTCTTGTTGGAAATCTCTCCCTGCGTTTTTCTTGCGCTCTATGACATTTGATGTTTCACGGATTTTATCTAACGTTTCGTTAATATCCATTTGAGCGTACTTGCCGTTGTAATATGGCACATACTGTAAAACAGTACGCCATTCGGTGACATAACATACCAGCACAAAACCTGTTACACCAAACGCCAAACCCGATTGACCCCTGTAAAAATCAAATGCATATAATTAACACTAATAACAAGCGTAGTCAGCAGGGGTAGTAATAACAGTACAAGTACAATATAAAAATAACTGATAAAATGTATACATCAAATGTATATAATATATTTAAAAAAATTGTCTTTTAGTTCATATACATATTTATGTTTAGTATGCAACCATACATTTATTTTTATTACTTACTAATTAATTTGATTTTAGTTTGTGAGTGAAATAAGGAATGGTTATTTGGTTTTACTATGATGTATCTATGCTTTTTTGTGTCAACGTTTACTATTTCAACCAGAAAATTCGATCATCACAATTATGGGAAGTTTCTGGTAGAAAATGGTGTCTAGTTGGTATTTGTGAGGAGGTAAAATTTTAATTTCTCAAGAGTTTTCCGAATTATTGAATAAACGGAGAAAAATTTACGAAAAAACTTTAACCGAGATCAAATTGCGAACTCGGAACTATCTTGTATTCTATCATTACTATATAAAATTTATATAGAATAAATAATGTATAGATAGACTTTATAGAGTAGAAATAATATAATTTGATAGATATTTCATAATTTTTAAAATATTTTATTGAAGTTTGTGCTAATTGTAAAAATTTGAAATTTCATATTAAAATTTTAACCAATATTATTAAGAAATTTTGTTCTACTATACTATATAGTATATTATATTTATTTATATTCATTATCAATAATTAAAAATAATTGCATTTAACTACAATTGTAATATTAACTATAAATTATTATTATAAAATACTATTAATAAGCCTCGTTATCTAGTTTCTACCACTTCACATTAGCTGTAACACGATATTGCTTTCAATAATTTGCCTGCGGTCTATTTATTAATCGTTTTCACTACAGCTACAGTAATTGAATTACATAATTTTAATCTTAAAAATAAACGTTCTTGAGTTTTATTGTAAGAGGAGGGAGGGTTTCAAATAATTTACCGTATCGTTTACTGTTATAATCTCTGTGTTTTGGCAACATTATATTAATTATTTGGAGCATTACCCGTCGAACGAGTTAAAAAAAATATTTAATGACGTTGTCTCAAACTTAGAATCGGAAACAATCCAACTATTTTATACGATGATGATATTTTGTTTAACGTGTTATTAATTGTAATAATAGTTATTGTTACTTCCACACGATTTCTATCCAAAAATAAGAAGGATAATTCTAATGAAAATATGTTTATTGGTACATTATTCTAGCTGCTGAAGTTGTTCTGAAAAATTTGATCAATTATTACATTTTATAGAAACATTTTATTTCAAAATTAATACACTGCATGAAGATATAATTTGTTTGTGATAATGTGAACAAAATGTTTTTAAATATAAAACCAAATTATTCTAAACAGTCATTGACTATAATTATTTTTTTGTTTACTTAATATAATCACTTATGTAAAATAATTTATAAATAGTAAGATAATATAATTATAATAATAATAATAATAATAATAATAATAATAATAACAAAAAATAAATAAATACCTAAATTTTATATTATTATAAATTACCTACAGTTGTCTATATCATGTACTTTAAGTATTAGGATTATAGTTTTCAAACATACAGTGCATAAAGAAAATTTCTTTTGAGTTCTATATTGTTTATATCTATTCGTTATTATAGTTATTATAGGTATAAACATTATATCATTATTAATATGCTTTAAGACTTTAATTTTAAAGAGTAACATATAAACAATAATAAGTATAATTTAAACTTTTGTCAACATAACATTAAATGACTCTAAGCTATAACGGTTTCTAGATAACTAGTTGAAGAAATATATAGTTTATTATAATCTCTTGTTTTTACTGTTTATAGCATGGTGTATATATTAAGATTTGTGGTTAATAATATATATTTATAATAGCTATATTAAACAATAGATTATTCATTTTTTTCTGAATTTAAAATAACAAAAAATGCTCATCATAAATACAAAAACTATGCTAGGCTTAGATAACAGTAAATTATATATATATATATATATATATATAAAATATAATCGATCCATATGTTTTAAATTTTAAAAATAATTTATATATTTTATCATCTATAAGCGTCACGAATATCAAAATGTTCTCGGTATGAGTAAAAACTACCGATAGCCAGACTAAAATTATATTACTATATGATATACATATTCTAAACAATGATTTTATTTGTGGTTTACTATTTTTAATATACTCAATAAACGATACCATTGTCTTACGAGATAGTATACATTACCATGTTCTCAATGCCACAGAAGTCTTATAAAACTTCGGCATTTTTTTCTTGGACATCGGTGTCATCGAGATGTTTTTATAGTTCGCCTGCGATATGATTTTCGTAAACATGATAAACTTAGAATTTCGGATCACAGATGGTAGAGAAATATATATTTGGGATTCGTTAAAAGAAAATTGTTGGTTGATCTTTATTAAGTTATTTAACGTGTACGGTATACAATAAGGTAAGAGAAGAAGAAAAAAAACGAACGTCGTCCGACAGTCGACTACGGTCAAAATGGCGTGCACTACTGTTACGTTGTTGACGGTACCATATATTCACATCGTATTGTTTGACAGTATTTTTGTTCAAAACAAACGGACGTCCATATAATAAGGTCGTTCAAAGTACTGCAACTGCAACACGCGCATAAGGATAAGGTCACAAAGCGGACCTTTTTCCTCCAAGGCCTGTTACCTTGGAACATAATAATAATCGTATCGATTGTACATGTTTGAACACAAAATGTCGTGTAACAATGAAAATTTGGTGAATTTTGTTGTTTACGATTCCCGTATAAGAAGCCTTACCTACGTGTACCGCAGTACCTACCGTATGCTGGTGACGTCGACGAGCGTAATGCGTTTGGGCGAATTACCTTTTTTCCCGAATAAAAAAATGTGTTCAGACGAGTTCTTTATAATTTGTTTGAGCGAGTATAAAATTTGTTATTATTAACTATTGTTTTTTTTTTGTATTATAAATCACACAAGATATTGAGTATAGCACATGTCAAATGATATCAAATTTTTAGATTGTATAAAACGCATAGAAATAAAATTTCAAGCAAAACGAATTTTTATCTTGTCCATAGAAGTCACGGACAGTCCTAAGTCTGTCGAAATGAGAGGGGAAATGGATTGTGAATCGCATTGCAAGGCACTAAAAAGGTCGCCCAAACACATTACAGTATTTTAAAATAACTCGCGCAAAAGCATTATGATAAATGACCCAAACACTTTGCAATTTTTAAAAACTCGCCTAAACGCAAACCACCCGACGTTGACCGTGCGTTTTCACAAATGTTCATCTCGCGCCATTCAAACAATGTATATTTATACTTTTATACTATTACGTTGTCAACAATACTTTTCGTTTGAAAAACAACGCGACGTAATGTCATAACTCATAACAACATCAGCCAGTCAAATCAATTAGTAGGTTACCTATTACCCATACTCAAGAAGATAATTTAGTGCATAAATAATACTCATATTAATCAAAGTTCTTATGTGTTAACTATGTTGGTTGATGGGAGTTTTAATGCTGAATATTTTTGTTACATCAACTCACTTCTGACATTTATTATATATTAAAAGAGGTCGTCAGTTTTTTTTAAGGTTTTCTTTTAATGACTCTGTAAAATAAAAAATAATTTCCTTTACTTATTATTTTTACTAATTATTTTATGTTATTTTATCTTGGAA